AACATAAAACTGAGAAGACATTCACGAGAAGTTTTTTTATATATTGATAAAAAAGGTTATGTACAAAAGACCGATCAAGGTCTTACAAAAAGAAATATTAAGCCCTAACTACGACCGGTTTTGACCTCTTCTCTAAGAGCAACTTCCCCTTCAGGCCCCTCATCGGATCCGCCTCGACTGCCTTCTTTATCATCATCTTCGTCATCGAAGGAGGCAAGCTTCTTGGCTTCAGCTTCAAGCACCTTGGCTCGGGCTATCTCCTCGGGGAGGTCAAAACCTCGAGTATGGATTTCCTCGAGGGTTTCCCTCCGGGATTGACACTTTGCCGAGTCAATGATCTATTGCTCTCGGTCAGAAGCCTCCCTTAGCTGCATTTGAGCAGCCTCAACATCGGCTTGGTACATGGCAATGGATTTTTCCTCCATGACCTTTGTATTCTCGATCTCCGCCTTGGCCTTAGCAAGCCCGTTTTCAAGCTCCTCGATCCTCTTAGCTTGGGCTGAACTTTTCTCTTTGACAATCCGAAGTTGAAGCTTGGTCGATGACAGTTTGGCCAAGGTAGTTTCTTTTTCCTCAACTAGGCGGTCCATATTCTCCTTCCACCGATCACAATCGGCCTTTACTTGATTGACTTCTCCCCGAAGCAGCTCGATCCTTTCAACCTTTTTCTGCAGCTGAGATAATGAAGTATTAGCCTCCACAGTTGGGTCGAGTCCGTACTTTATCAAAATGATGCTCACCTGCTTATCTAGCTTGGCCTTTTCCTCATGAGCCTTGGCCAAATTCGCTTGACGATCCTTTATAGTTTCGTCTTTTTGGCCGAAAAAAAGCTTCAAAGCGTTCCTCTACTCTGAGACCCTTTGGAGCTCGGTTTTACACTGGCTAAGGTCAGCTTGAAACTTGGCGAAGGCCTATACAAAAAAGGAAAACACAATTCAGATTTAGAGAAAAAGAAAAAGAAGAGTAAAGAAAAGAAGTGATTCTTACCCGAGATAAGAGGCGTTGGGCCTCTTCTAAAAGAATAGAAGCATCACCGATATCAAAGGCATCATTGACTCCAGTAAAGCAATCCCGAAAAGGATCCCCTACACTAGAGCCTCTGCCTATATGAGGAGTCTTCAACTCTTGAGATTCCCTTAGTGCCTCCTCAGAAAAGATCAGGAGAGAAGGCAAGTGACCTGCTGTCATGGTCCCGAGCAAGTCGTTCAGGACGCTCTGATTGATCTTCGGGGTCCTAGAACCGGCCCCGTCTGGTGTAGTTGCAGATGGCCGAGAAACGGTCTCGACCTCTGGTAATTTAGGATCCTCACCCGATTTCTTTTTGGAAGCCTCCTCGACACGAGGCTTGATTTTAGCAGCCGCCGTCAGCTCAGAAGGTTTGGTGACCTCGAAGGCTTTCCTAGGTCGGACCGTCAGTACCGAGGCATTTTCCTCTTCTTCCTCTTCTTCATTTCTCAATTTTTGGACCGAGTCCATCATGAGAGCGATTACTTTCCTACTCACCCTTCGAGGTTTGGGCTTAGGGTCCTCGGACTGCGGGGCAGGTTTCCTCTTCTTGTCTTCTCCCGGCTTCAGAACCGGGGACTTGGTTTCTTCCTCAACACTTGAAGGCCTCAAAATGGCATCCTTGGTCAGGCCTGCATGAAAAACATTTTGTGATGAATGGAGTATAAAAAATATTTCAGAACATGAAAAAGGAGATCCTTACCGTGGTTCTTGTCCTCCCATCTTCCCTTTGCCAAATCACGCCATGCGCGTTCGGCATATGTGGAAGTTAAGGCTAACTTCCGCACCCAATCTTCGAGGTCAGGTACCGCTTGAGGCATCCAAGGAATGGCTATCAGGCGAAGTCGAAGAAGGTACGAAGAACAAAGTTTAAAAGATCACTTATGATCGAAGTTTCACTCCTCAGGGAATGACATCTTCTCTTTCGGGATAATGTCGCAGGTCCTCACCCGTATAAAATGGCTCATCCAACCCCGATCCTTGTCCTCATCGATTCTCAAGATCAAGGCCTTCGCTGCCCGGCGTTGGAGTCTGATTAGTCCTCGGTAGATTCGAGGCCGGTACAACCGCATGAGGTGATTTAGAGTAAACTCTAGCTCCTCGGCCTTGCTAGAGAAGAAGCGTAGCATGATTACTATGCGTCATAGAGAGGGATGGATTTGGACGAGGGTGACCTGATATCTTTTACAGAGATCAATAATCATTGGGTTGAGGGGACCCAATGTGAAGGGGTAAGTGTAAACACTTAAGAACCCCTCCACATAAGCGGTGATGCTATCTTCGGGAGCAGGAATTTGCACCACGACCTCGGGACCCCAGTTGCAGTCCTTCTTCACGGCCTCGAGGTGGCTCTTCGATATTGAGAACATGTATATCGACACATGCTCACATCGGCCCGGGATTGATGAAGGATTTTCGACCTTGAAGTCGGATTTTAGAGTACACGGGCCGGGCGCCTTGCCACCGGACGACCAGGAAGAGGAGCAATAAGCTTTCTCCTTCTGCGGTACAGTCTTTGAGGTTTTCGCCATTTGTATAAGTAAGGAAGAGTGAAGAAAGATGAAAAACTAGTGGTTTCGGTGCTAACGACGGTGGCTCTACAAACGGCGAAAAAGAGGAGATGAAAAGAGTGAGAATACTTAGAGGTTTGATTAGAGAAAAAGTAAAGTTTGATTCAATGAAGGAGCGGGTATTTATAGGTTCACGGCGACAGTTCGGTGGCGTTAGTGGCTGACCGCTAACTGACAAGCATTTATGATTTGGGGAACTGAACTGACGGGACGTTTCGATCATATCTGTCACTTACGTCATAAGGACTACGTCATGATCGAGGTTTCAGAAAATCAAGGCTCGGATCGTTTCTTATCATTTTATTCCAAGAAACGCAGGGATTATCTGTATACGGTCAAAATCGGGCATGTCAGATTTCATAACCACGAGAAGCTGCCTCGAGAGTAAGCTCGTAATAGACCAGGCTCGAGCTCAATGGCAGAGTATGGAGCATAAAGATCGAAGTGCTCGCTGAAGATCGAGACCGAGCATGACCGACTTCGAGTAAGGCATAATAAAGGAATGGCAAAATATTAGCAACCGACCGAAGATCTCGGCGGAAATCCCGGAACAGATCGAATCAAGCGGTTATAGACGCCAATCATGGGATTTGTTTCCGGTATAAGAAGTGTACCTTATTTAGGATTCCTCTACTATATAAAGAGGAACCCCATTCATTTATAAGGACAGATTCACTGAGAAACATATATAAAAAACGCTGCTCTTTATTTCACTTACTATCTACTAGTTTTCATCATTGTTTATTTTTCTGTTCTTTACTGTTCTCTTTATCCAGCCTCGAGTCCATCTCAGATCGAGGTCGAAAGCTCTGCTAGAACACTGGTTTGATTTATTTTATTATTCAGATTATCTATTCAATTCTTTGTTTATCAATTGGTATTGGAAAGTTTAATTGTTACTCGAATTTTAGGGTAAACAATAAGGCAAAATATTACCTACCATCCACATGTAAATTGTAATTATATATAATAAGCCGAATTTGGTGACGTAGGAAATAAGAAAAATCTAGGAGAACAAGTAAAAATGCAAAATATAAATGATATTGTCGGTGTATATAAGGTAAATCTTATATAGTAAAGTATGATTAGATGGTCTTGAAACTAAGCCATATTCTCTGCGGAATATATAGTCTTATTAAAACGCTCTCTTTAACGAATCAAATTAGAGGAAGGGAGCAGACATGATCAAGAGAAAGACCTTAATCCTATTAATTAGATTAAGAAAAACATATCTAAATAAATGATAATGCAAAATTATTTGGCTCCTGAAGTTTGCTTTTAGATGAACTAATTTTAGGAGAGTGCTTAAGTTTCAAGTCTTGTCAATTTCTAATACTAAATCTAAGTGGCGAGTATATACATACATAATGTATATATACATATATAATAATTATATAGTATTATTTTAATTGCAGGGGTGATGGTGGTCCATCAAGTATACTGCTTATTTTCCTTGCATATCAAGCAATCTCCATCTCTCTTCTTTCTTTATTTATCTCTTCGTATATCTCTAAGCGACAATACATGCCAAAAGAATCATGATTACTACTCCAGCTCAAAACCCATGTGAATTCCTATCATTTTATTTCCTTTAACTAAATTATCTTTTGTTTTGTCTCACAAAGGAGCCTGCATTATTTTTCTATTTCTTTTTCATAATTAATTTTTTTTTAAAAAAAAACAGAAGCTCTTTTCAGTAAGAGAATCGAATAAATACATGAAATGTAGACTAGTAGTACTTTGTGAGCTAATTAGCAAAGACAGTTGGAGTATAAATAAATATTCCTTTGCAAAGTACCCAAACGGGATTGTTTCGTTGTATCTTACTATATGTTTATTTGTTCAAATTTATGCATAATATTCTATCAACTGATTTTTTTAAAGGAATACAAACTGATGTGGTATACTGGTGTTGTATAACCATGCTTTAATAATGTCTATGCAATTTTTCTTTAAATTTTACTAGGTAATGTAAAAGATAATTCTAAAGTAATTATCAAGTTAAAATTAGTGATGTAGAACCTTCACCAACAAGGTGAAAATTCAGGTACGTAGCTAACCAACTAGACTACTAAGATTCCCCTATACATGTTAAATTATATAGATAGTATAAAATACTCCATCCGTTTGTAAATCTATTTTCTTTTTAATCCGTGCCAAAAAGAATGATCTCTTTCCTTATTTGGAAATAATTTAACTTTATGCAATGATTTATAGCCACACAAAATATATGTGCCTCATTTTACGCCACAAGTTCAAAAGTCTTCTCTCTTATCTTAAATTCCGTGCCCAGTCAAATGAGTTCACATAAATTGAAACGGAGGGAGTATTATGTATGTATATTTCTCCTACTAAATTCTTTGTTTTTTTAGTTATAAAGTGAGAAATACAGAAAGCGAGGTGTGTGTGTGGGGGGTTGCTGTGCTTTTGTGAAGGGCGTTCCGAAGCTTTTGCTTTAGTAGTCAAGGGGACTCGAAACAAAGGTGTAAGAAGCTTGCTTTAGAGCTTTACAAACAAAGAGAAAGAGAGAGAGAGACAGAGAAAACCGACTCAGGTTTTCTTTCTTTCTGTTTTCTTTCTCACACATACAAACATAGACAGAGAGGAAAAAACCGTCTTCATGCACTGCTTAAATTAGCAAAGGAAGTTAAAGGTATATAGTCATAGAAGTAGAGATATATATGTGGGCACCTTTTTCTTTATATCTCTTAATTTTGGCTTCAGTTAAAGTAAGAGGGAATTCTGGTGTCCTCCAGGGGTTAAAGTTGGTTTTATATATCTTCATTCCCCACCTCCCTTATTCTTCTCTCCCATTTCTTTCACCTCTTCTCTGCCCTTATTCTCTCTTGGCCTTTAATTTCTAGTTTATTTTAATTTCTCCTGAGGAAACTTGTTAGTATTTCTGCGCGCTTTTACTTAAATTTATAATAGAGATATATCTATCCATATTTTCTCTTCTTGTTGGATTATATTAATTATTCTTTTAATTCGTTTCTGAAAGATTGGTTTTAGTCCACAGGATTCTTGATATCAAAGGGTACTGCTTGCATACCAAAGTTGTCATGGAAGATTTTCAGCTGAGTTGATAGTTAAAAAAAAAAAAAAAGGAAGAAGAAGAAGTCATGAGTAAGAGTAGTCATCAGTTGGGATCTATTAGTAGTTCTGATCTTATTGATGCAAAGCTTGAAGAGCATCNTTGAAAAGACACTCTTTCTCCACTAGAAATATGGGCAATTTCTTGTACCATAATTCAAGATAGTTAGGTTTTACTATGTTTCTTTTCTTGTTTGCAAGGGAGAAAGAAAAACTGCATTTTTTCTAGGGTTTGCTTTATTCTCCTTGTCATGTTTTTTTTCCTTCTCACTTGACATTAAAGAAAGAGTTTAACTCCTATGCACTCGCAATGTATTAAATCTCTGACATGATAATTAGAACTAGTTATTCGAAAAATAAATTTGCTAATTGCTAAGTATATAATTCAAAAACACTTTACACTGTCAACGTAAAATCCACCAAGAAAACTTTTCAGTTTGTCCAACCTAAGTAAGTAAATCCAACATTGATATTTGGTAACTGTTGTCTTGTTTAGGTGTTACAAGGGACGGACTAAGTAGACATTTCTTCCACAGACCATCTAAGGCATACACAACAGGCACAAGAAAAAGAAGGAAAATCCTAACAGAATGTCAAGACTTGGCAGCTGCAGGTGGTGAAACCCGTTGGCACAAGACAGGCAAGACAAGGCCAGTAATGGTGAATGGAAAGCAAAAGGGGTGCAAGAAAATTCTAGTCCTCTACACAAACTTTGGCAAGAACCGGAAACCCGAGAAGACAAATTGGGTAATGCATCAATACCATTTAGGCCAACATGAAGAAGAGAAGGAAGGTGAACTTGTGGTGTCCAAGATATTCTATCAGACTCAGCCAAGGCAATGTAATTGGAGTAACACTACTACTAGCACTACTGTTGGTGGAGAAGCGAGCAGTGATCTTAATAGCAGAAGGGATAGTGGCAGTGGGAGCTGTTCTTCGTCTAAGGACATCAATAATAATAATATCCCTTCTTCTCATAGGGATGAATTGTCTGCTGCTGTTTGTGCTGCTATGTCAAGTTACGCTACTATGGATATTCAACAATTCAAAGCTGAACATTTTAGCTTTCTCCCATTTAGGAAAAGCTTTGATGAGGTATCTATCCCTTCATTCTCAACCATTTACAGAAAATCATGTCAATATATATTCTTCTGTAATTTCTCCATTTTTTTTCTTGATTTTTTATGTGGGATATGAGGCCATTTTCTTCACGTGATATGTAGGAGGGCAATAGTATTTGGTCCTAATACTTAACAACTATTTAGCTAGCTCCATCAAACGTCAAATTCATGCTAGACAAGAAGGAAACAATACACAAGCAAATAAGAGATTCTTTTTAGTTTCCGCTTACACATTCCTTAAATAATTAAGAAGCAATGAAAAATATACTAGACTTGCTTGATAATAACTGTCAGTATTTTATTCTCGTGGTTAAGCTATCTAAAAAAAAAAAAAAAAAAATTTTTGTTCCAGTACCAGTAATAGTAGTACAAAATAAAACCAAAGATAAAAAAACAGTAAAATAACAAAAGTGTTTGACAATGCAAACTATTGCAGGCAGGCATTGTAGTAGGTGAAGGTGGTGGTTCGGCAGCAGCAGCAGCTGCACCAGTAGGCACGTCAGACGCGCGTGACATTCACGAGACACATCATGTAACTCATGAACAACAGCTGCTCCAGCACCATCATCAGGTTGCAACCGCATCATTCCACATCAGCAGGCCATCGCCCCCAATATCAGCCATTATAACTCCGCCTCCTCTCCATAACACTTCCATTATTCTCGGCCATGATGATGCCTTCCATGTTCCAAGATCAATAATCCTTCCAAATGAAAACTTTCAGGTAACAACAATTTTCGTCCTTATTTTTTTCTCAATTAAGTGCAAAAGAGGATTCTTACGGATTGATTTTAACTTCTCTACGATAACAAACAACTTTTACATTATCATATACTTAGAGGATTCTTATGGATAGATTTTAACTTCTAATAAAGAACTAATTTTTACACCATAAAACATGAAATTACTAATTTGGCAGATGAAGAAGGTTACATGTTACAACAAATTAAAAAATGACGTATACAATTTCTTTATTGTGTCAATATTGACTGAGGGCCTTTAAAAAAGAAAAGAGAAGAAGGAAGTAGAGCTGCATTAGCAAACATGCATGATGAGTTTAAAAAACAAAAAAAAGGAACCTTAAGGCGTTTACACATCCTGTTTATTGCAGACAATACATGATCACACATATGATTATGTTGGAGTTTTGTTCTAATTGAGTGTATCATCTTTCGGCAGCAGCAGCAACAACATCATAAACTAGAAGGAAGGTCTGCATCTGAATTGGAACAATTAATAATGGGCTGCACTTCAACTGATATCAAAGGAGTAAGTTTACACCAACTTTTTGACCCTTGAATTCAAGATTTATCATTCTTATAGTATATCATATTCTTCACGATGGACAAAGATTAATAAGGGAAAAAAGAAAGGGATGGGTAGGATAACAAAGTAATTTGCTTCTTTCTTTGACTATTATTTTAACAAACAAAAGAAAAGGAGCTAGAGATGTAGAGGCCTTTTCCTTGATCTCTTTATCTCTTTGTTCTTTGCAGATTTTATGCTCCTATAGTAAGATTACGGATATTGGTGCCACAAACGATATAAAAATAGAGCTTGCGAATTTTTGCTTACTACTAATCCAGTTATGTGTCACTCTTTTTCTTTTAACTTTAAAAAAAAAAATGATATCTATATATATTTAAAATAATTTAACTTTAAACTTTTGATTTTTCGTTAAACACATAATCTTGTAACTACATAAATATTAGAAGAATTAATCTAAATAGTTGTCCATCCAATCACTAACAAAAAATAACGAGCCATATAGTATACTTGTATAATTTATGTATAATCAATGTATAATCTATCTGTACCAGCTAGAAAAAGTAAAAAGTAAATTTATCCGATTATTATTATATAAAGATCCCTAAATATTACTAAAATATATTTAAAATTATAAATTAATTTTTTTTTTTAGGTTCAAGTAAAATGAAACGGAATGAATAATTTTTTAATAGGTGTCCAAAATAAATCATTATGTGAATGGGACAAACGGCACTCAATTACATGCATGGGATTCAGCAGTCAAAAGGCAACTGTGATCAAACCGTTTTCTTTTCCCTTCCTTTCTTTTCGTTCTTTCTATTAACACAAGGAAACCATACGCACAAAGAAAAAGAGTTGGCTCTCCCTTATTCCCTTCCAAATCTCCTTTAGCTCCTCACGTCTTTCCTCTCTCCTTTACCCCTTCCATATTGCACCATTTTCTTCTTTACAATGATTTCATGATCTTTATTTACATATATCTTTCACTCCTTTTCTCCTTCCCTTTTTTCATATTTGGACAAGCTTATGATTTTGGATAACCTGGTTCCTATTATCTTTTGCTTTCGCTTTAGCTTCAAATTTTAGATGTTACATTCCCGTTGAATTAGTTGTCATGGTCAGATTTGCTTAGCTAAATGGAGCTATATTCACGCTTTAGGCATAAACAAGAAATAAAGGACAACTAAAGCCCTTTACTTGATGAACTTCAGAACGTCAAGTGTGTCAATAACAATATATTTGCATTTGGCTTATATTCTCCAGCATTCCTAGATTGGTTTCTTTTTTCTATTTGTAACATCAGAAAACCCTCGTTAACTTCCCCCCTTAATAATGGGTAGGGGTAAGACTTGAATGGAGGACTTCTATCTGCTCTAGTATCATGTTTAATTATGTGACTTACTCATGTAAAAACTTAAATTATTATTATATATAGGTGAAATATTTTTATTTAGTTAATTATATATGTTTACCATTTGGGCCTACTCCAAGTATGAAATCTCGAGGTGTTAATCGTGCAATGTGCAAAAAGAAAACCTTCCTTCCAAGTTGCAACAACCTTTGAATAACATTGGCGGAGAGAGAAGAAAAAAGAAAGAGAAGAAGCTAAAACCTTTAAAAAGCCGCTTTATGCTGAAACGGTTAACCATTAATTAGGCCAAGATCCTCATTAATTGGCTAAGAAAACCGACGTCAAACACAAGAATATATATATATATANACGTAGTTGATTATTGAAGTGTGATAGTGACAAATACAAACCCAAAATCTTTCATTTGAATTCTGCTTAATTGGTTTCATTTGCAGGATCAGTCATCCATCACGAACCCTCAAGATGCTGACTGGTTGAAGTACTCACACTTCTGGCCTGACCCTGACAACCCCGATCATCATGCCTAGGAGCAGAAATTTTGAAACTATAAATAGAGGAAAAGGCAACTCCCACATATATCATCATTAGTACTTCAAGCCTTGTTCAAGTTTTCAGAAATAAGTGACCAATTCAACTATATATATCTATATATATATGCTTCTTTTCTCCCTTTCTTTTTCAACTGAACTAACAGTTCAACAACCAATGTTGGAAAACCCCAGAAAGTAAGAAGAAGAACAAAGAGAAAAGGAAAGAGACTAAGAAAGGCTGCTCTCTTCTGACAAAATACAAGAGGGGGAACCAAAGCCAAAGCGAATGCATCTGCATGAAAATCATCACCACTATGATTACGATATCATCTTTATTTCCCTTTCTTATTATTTGATTTTTTTTAAAATCTTTTTTGTTATATAAATTTTTTTTAACATGAAACACCATAGGAATATCTGTGCAAAGTGCATACCGAGCTTTGTTAATTATGTCTATGGACAGTCACTTTTAGAGTAATATACTTTCTTTTTTGGGGTACAACATATTTCCCCTCGTAGAAATAAAATGTGATGTTGATTCTGTATTCCTATTGGGCCTTTACTTGCGCACAACTTTTGATGATGTAAATCGAGTTAAAGCAGCACTTAGTTAGTGATGGGTTCCTCCCATGTGTTATATGGCCATTAATTTTGCTTCTTTAATAAATTTGTAGACCAAATTTTCATGACATTTGTCATGACATCATATCCACTATTAGGCCAAGAATTTTTTGCTAAAATAGAGGAGCTTCTCCTCATTTAAAAACACACCAAAACAAAGAAAAACAATAGAAGTTAGAGAGAGTAATCCATAGATTGTAGTCTGTGAGATAAATAGTGAGTGTCAGTAATATTGTAGTGAGGTATTTTAAATAAAGAGTGTTATTTCTTTCAAAATTGTAGTAGTCTCTTGACACTACTAAGTTGTAATATTATAGTAGTAATATTGCTCCGCTCTGGTGTTGTATTTACCTAGTTAAAAGAGTTGGTGTCGTTGTTACTCTCTTGTGTTATTATTATTATTATTATTTTTCGTAGATATTATTTCTGGGTGAGATTACTATTTTTCCCAACAACGTGGTATCAGAGCCATGAAAAATAATGGTACGCTATCTTTTCAGTATCACCGTCTCACAAAAGATAATTATGAGAAATGGTGTCTACGTATGAAATCCATTCTTGGCTCCCAGGATGTGTGGAAAATCGTAGATAGAGGGTATGCAAAACCTGATAATGAGGAAGTTCTGCCTCAAAATGAAAAAGATGTCTTGGAAAAGACAAGGAAGAAGGATCAACAAGCCCTCATGCTCATCCACCAATATTTGGATGATCCCATGTTTGAGAAGGTGGTAGATGCTACCACCTCAAAGGAAGCTTGGGAGATTTTACAAAATTCTCTCCAAAGAGTTGACAAGGTGAGGAAGGTAAAACTTCAAATTCTAAGGCCTGACTTTGAAATTTTAAATATGAAAGAATCCGAATGCATTTCAGATTATTATTCAAAAGTGAAGGCTGTTGTAAATCAATTAAGAAGATATGGGGAGGACATACAAGATGTCCGTGTGGTAGAAAATATCCTTCGCACTTTAATACCTAAATTTGATTTTGTGGTGTATGCTATTGAGGAGTCTAAAGATTTAGACTCTATGCTGGTAGAGCAATTAGAGGGTTCTTTACAGGCCCACGAAGAAAATATCAAAAGAAGACAAGAAGTGCCACTGTAGCAACTTCTTAAAACTCAGGCATCCTTTAAGGATTATAGAGGTGAAAAGAGCTATCGAGGAAACGGACGAGGCCGAGGCCGTGGCGGTCATGGAAGAGGAAGAATTAATGGTAACAACTTCAACAATGAAGTTAAAATCCACCAAACATTCAGAGGTCGTGGCCGTGGACAAAGAGGAGGAAGAGGACGTGGCTACTACCAAGAAAATAATGGATAAAGGTATGACAAATAAAAAATTAAGTGTTATAATTGTCATAAATTTGGCCATTACTCTTGGGAATGTCATAGCAATGTTGAAGAAAAAGCTAACCACGTTGACGACAAGAAAGAAGAATATGAGTCAACGTTGTTAATGGCACTCAAGGAAGAAGACAGGGATGATTGCAGCTCGTGGTATTTGGACAATGGAGCAAGCAATCATATGTGTGGATGCAAAGAGAAGTTTGTGGAGATCAATAAAATGGTGAGAGGTAAAATGTCCTTTGGAGATACCTCAAAGATTCAAATAGAAGGGATAAGTACGATTCTAATCTCCTCTAAAGATGGTAGTCACAGGCTAATTCAAGATGTTTATTATGTGCCAAAATTAAAAAGTAATATTTTGAGTTTGGGTCAACTTCTTGAAAAAGAATATGACATCCACATAAAAAAATGCATCTTTGGCTTAGAGATTCAGGTAGAATTCTAATTGGTAAAGTACATATGGCAAAGAATAAATTATTTTCTCTTAATCTTAAAACAATTGATGCAAAGTATTTGAATGCTAATGTGCAAGATGAATCATGGTGTTGGCACATGCGATTTGGGCACTTGAATTTTAAAGCACTCAAATCAATGGGAGAAAAGAACATGGTGAATGGGATACCATAAATCAACCATCCCAATCAATTGTGCGAAACTTGTCTTCTTGGAAAACATGCAAGGAGGAGTTTTCCAAAGGAGGCCATGTCAAGATCAACTAAACCGCTTCAGCTTGTTCACACTGATGTATGTGGACCAATCAATCCACATTCCTTTGGTAAAAGTAAATACTTTCTACTTTTCATTGATGACTGTAAAAAGACTTGGGTTTATTTCTTGAACCAAAAATCTAAAGCTTTTGCTGCTTTTAAAATTTTTAAAGTACTTGTGGAGAAAGAAAGCGGCTATGAAATAAAAGCTTTAAGGTCTGATAGAGGAGGCGAATTCACTTCGAAAGAATTTAATGACTTCTGTCAGTCTCATGGAATTCGTCGTTCTCTAACGGTACCTTATTCACCCCAACAAAATGGAGTAGCAGAGAGAAAGAATCGAACGATTCTTAATACTGCAAAGGTCCAAATATACCTCTGTACTTTCGAAAATAGTCTAAGAATACCCCTCGTTATACTATTGGGTTATCTATACCCATGCAGTCATACTTTGGATTCAAATATACCCCTTATTTAAACGAAGGGACACGTGTCATCGTCTTGTTGGCCAATTCTAAATATCTCCTAATTAATTAAAAAGACCCATTATTTGGTATCCGAAAAATAATTTTCTAAAGTAATTTTTTTTGTAAAAACTGAAAAAAACTAATTTGTTTTTACTAAAAATTGAAAAAAACAAAAATATTTTTTTTCCAGTTTTTACAAAAATACTGCTTTAAAAAAACTGAAAAATATTTTCTAAACCAATGTTTTTGTAAAAATTGAAAAACAAACTGAAAAGCAATATTCTAAAGCAATTAAAAATTCGAAAAAACTGAAAAAAGAAAATATTTATTTTTTTTCAGTTTTTACAAAAATATTGCTTTAGAAAATTACTTTTCAATTTTTTTTAGTTTTTACAAAACAAATTGCTTTAGAAATTATTTTTCAGTGTCTTTAAAGCAATATTTTTCTAAAAACTGGAAAAAAATATTTTCAATTTTTCAAGCTTTTAGTAAACAAAACATTCAGTTTTTTCCATTTTTAATTGCTTTAGAAAATTGTTTTTCAGTTTTTTTTTTTTTTTTTTTTTTTTTTTAAAAAAA